GGGGGGGGGGTCCAAATGGCCAGTGTGACTGCAAGTCAAGCGTTGTCATTAATTATGAAGTAGTCCCTGTGGAGGTGTTGATGTGTTTGTGGGGATCAGAGAGAGAGAGAGAGAAGGGAGGGAGAAAGAGAGAGAAGAGAGGGAGAGAGAGAGAGAGGGGAGAGAGAGAGAGAGAGAGAAGAAAGGGGGATAAGGAGAATGAGACAGAGGGAAAGAGAGGCACTAACACACAGGCACACAGACATACTCACACCGGAATAGAACAAGGAGAAAATAGAACACGGTGGAATAGAATAAGGAGGGAATAGAACAAAAGTGGAATAGAACAAATGTGGAATAGAACAAATGTGGAATAGAATAAACGTGGAAGAGAACAAACGTGGAAGAGAACAAATGTGGAAGAGAACAAATGTGGAAGAGGACAAATATGGAATAGAGCAAGGAGGGAATAGAACAAGAAGGGAATAGAACAAAGATGGAACAGAACAAAAGATGGAAGAGAACAGCCGTCCGTGTACTGAGCGCTGACTCACTAAGCACGTGCATTCTCTGGTAGTTTGGCCGAGTGAGAGCTCTTGGTGAGTCATGCTGATGTGGCAGTTTTGCTCACTGTGTCGAAAAAACCGAGAAAAAACAGGCAATAATCTATTATTTATACCACGAAATAATTATGCAAATTCATGTATCTGATCTGTGTGTGTGTGTGATGGTTGTTGTACAATATAACTGTCATAACGTTGCCTTTGGTCGGCTGGTGGTGGTGAGTGGACATCTGTGACCTTCATGTCCTGGAAGGGTTCAACTACTCGTGACCTCAGTGCTTTCTTGTCCTGTCTCCTTTTTAAAACCCTATCCGAACGCCCTGGGGTTATTTTGTACCCCCGGGGTTGTATTCTTCATATTTAGAATACTTCTAGTACGAAGATCTCTTTGAAACTTTCAGTAATTTGTCAAAATACTTTTTGACAGACTGCTATGCAAAGCGTACGGATCGGATTAACGAGTAACTTTCCTCTTTGAAAAGTGGTGGCACAGAGTTTCCCACGTTGTATGGATACGATAGCAAAACAAACACGACGTACTGATAGGGTTAAACATTGAAAATGTGACTTCTTCTTAAGCTCACCCTTTGTTATGAACTGTTTTCGCTGTTATTAAAATAAACGGAGATAGGACAAGAAAGCACTGAGGTCGCGTTCTGGCCAACGACCTTGAGGCGGGTGGGAAACGTAGATCGAGCACGTTAGTCCCGTGGCGGGTCCCAGAGCGGTGCCGGAAGGAAGGAGCGGGGCTAGTCTGAAGTAGTCCGCTCGTCAGTTTGTGCTGACTGTCCTCCTGCGTTAATTATGTAGTCGGGCCGGGATTGCTACACTGGTGGGGGCGGGGGGAGAGGGGGGGGTGAGACAGGGAGAAGACGGACGCTGTCTTGAGAGAGAGAGAGAGGGAGAGAAAGAGAGAGAGAAGGGGATTAATGGATGATGGATTGACGGACGGATGGATACTCTCTGTCTCTCTGTGTCTCTTTGTCCCCATTTATTTGTCTCCTTCATACACTCACTCACCCAGTCACACAAACACATCACACACAAACACACACACACATCCACACATACGCGCGTGCGCGCTCGCGCACACATATAGCTGTCCACTTCACCACCCCC